AAAAAAAAAAGGAAGACAGGCTTTGGAGTTAGATAGGCTGAGGTTTGCATCCTTGCTCTGCCACTCACTAGCTGTGTAAATTTGAGAAAACTATGTAACCTTTTAAAGTCTCCGTTTTCTCATCTGCAAAAACGAATTAAAGTATTTTTTCAAGAAGACAATGAAAGGAATATATAAGATGATACACAGGCCAAGTACTGACCCTAACACAAAAATATAATGTTCCATAGATGATAGGGGTAGTTGAAGTAAAAATAATGATAAGTACTTTATGTTTTCAAATTATTGATTAAGAAATTAGGGAGGAAAAGACCAGCTTGGATTGGAGCCCTGGGTTGGGTCTTCCAGCTTAAAGTCAGTCCACTAGTCACAACTTTCTGGGTATAGTTGTTCATTTAATTATGAATCCTCCTATGTCTGCCCTCTTGCCTACATTTCTTGAATTTGTGTGTAAGGACAGAACTCACTCATTCAGCTACCATCATTTAATAACTACATGGAGCACTGTGTCCAGTGCCCTGAGTACCAAGTAGATTCAGTAGTGACCCAAGAGAGAATTTCCGTCTTGCAAAGAGGGAGGACAGAGAGACTGTCTACTGCTTTGCTGGACGACCCTATCTGTGATGTCGCTGGAAGCTTTCTGAACCTTCAAGGATCTAAGAACAGTTTCTAAAAAAGAAAACAATGTTCCAAATGACTCGTTCATAATGGACACTCTTTAACTTCTAAACATTGGTATTTGGGGGTGTCTAGGTGGCTCAGTCGGTTGAGCGTCCAGCTTCGGCTCAGGTCATGATCTCATGGTTTGTGAGTTCGAGCCCCGTGTCGGGTTCTGTGCTGACAGCTCTGAGCCTGGAGCCTATTTCGGAATCTGTGTCTCTCTCTTTCTGCTCTTCCCCTGCTTGTGCTCTCTTTCTCTCTCTCAAAAATAAACATTAAAAATTTTTTTTAACATAGGTATTTGATTTTTTAATTTTGTTTTATAATGTTTTAGAGCAGCCTTTGGAGACTGAAATTAAGCTTATTTTTTTTTTAATTTTATTACTTTAATATGGAAATTCCTATTTTTCACTTTGTGAAGATTAGTTTGTTTTAGCTTCTTTACCAGCTGAATGGCCTGCAGCTACATGTTCATGTCCAGAGTTTCTGTCCCCTCTAAGTGAGGATAAGGGTTTTCGATACAACACAGTTGAGACAAGGGTCACATTCTGGGATGGATGCAAAAGAAATCTGTGAACCTTAAAGGATTATACAAATGTAAGGTGATATTATTGCTACTTGTTCCTGTATTGTAATCATGAGTTTTATACTTTGAGATGAAAGTGTTATTCCTGATTTTGCCACTTGAGAATCAATGTGTGCTTCCTCTACTATTTTTCTCCTTATTAAGCAATACATGCCATTTTCCCCTGCAATGTTCAATATTTTGTGTATCATAAACATTTCCCTCTGTCCTTCACAGTGAAGTTTTATCTGAAATGATTAGGCTCCTATCACATGCTAGGTTCCCTCTGTGTGGGAGGCAGAAAACAATCCTGCTTCCCTGTAGGTAGCTACTCTCCTCTTAGATTCTTCAGTGTCAAATTCACCTGGCACTGAAATCAGACTTCTCCCTGTCCCCAGATTGCTGTTTTCTCACCGGGTCCTAAGTCGCTGGAAGGTGTGCTTCAGGCGTGTTGGTGTGAGCATCTTTGGCCACTGAATTTCAGGGAACCTTGCTTTTGGGCTCTGGAAAGAATGGGGTGTCTCTGCCCCTTCTTGAAGCAAACCTCTGATACTTGCTAAATTGTTAATGGTGCTCAACAGCTTGTACATCGTTGGTGTCAGCTCAGCTCTTTGCAGTGAATGTCAGATAAGCAGAAAACTGTGAAGCCAATATTTTAAGCCCTTCACTTGTGTTGTACTGGGAGTAGTGCGGTGGCTGTGGACAGGGTGGAAGACCCAGCTTTTTTACCCCAGGGCTCATGATCTAGCTAGGAAGACAGTGTGTATACACCAAGATACTAATTTACATGAAAATATAACCAATACCTGCTTTAAGAAGCCTCTTCTTGGGGCGCCTGGGTGGCGCAGTCGGTTAAGCGTCCGACTTCAGCCAGGTCACGATCTCGCGGTCCGCGAGTTCGAGCCCCGCGTCGGGCTCTGGGCTGATGGCTCGGAGCCTGGAGCCTGTTTCTGATTCTGTGTCTCCCTCTCTCTCTGCCCCTCCCCCGTTCATGCTCTGTCTCTCTCTGTCCCAAAAATAAATAAACGTTGAAAAAAAAAAAATTAAAAAAAAAAAAAAAAAAAAAAAAAAAAAAAAAAAAAAGAAGCCTCTTCTTTGCATCAGAATGCCTGGAAAGCTTCCTTATTAAGTGGATCATCTTTAATGAGTGTTCCATTTTTCTCCAATAGGGGTATAGTATAACCAGGGTCACAGTAGAGTTGATCATCAAAACCCTCACACTTTGGAGAATGATGAGAAGAGCTGTTAATAGTTATACATGTATAACAGGCTTAAAGAAGATCTGTCCTAGGCAAACTGGCATGCAGTTTCCCCCTAATTAAAACCACAGATAAAAAGGATTCAAGCATCCAATCATAGCCTTAAGCAGAGTAACAGAGGGAAAGACTCACCAACTCTAAATTTCTGATTTAAATAAAATATTAAATGTACACTAAGTCCCATAAAATCGACAAAATAAGTTATATGCAGTTAGTTAAAAATAGGCCCTGACATAATGATAAAATATTTGTTTAGTATATGAAAATATGATTCTACTGTATCATGAATTTGTCGTATAAAAAACTGATATGATGCTTGCTGTGATAAAGATTAAGCAAATTCTTAATTAAAAATAGTTTACTTGTCTTTTGATTTTAGTGGATTTTTCTTTAATGCAATGACTTAAAGATCTCTGGTATCTTTAAAAGGCAGGCTGTCCAGAGAAGTTTGAACAGATGTCCTTTTTTCTTTTTCTTTGTGAATTTCTCAGAGACAGCAAAGAGTGTTCAGTTTTTTCCATTTCAGCCATCTGTCTACCTATTCAATTTGTGTATCTATCCATCAAGCCAACATTTATTGAGCAATTACTATGTGCCAGACCTATATACTGAGACTACAGTCACTGATGGGATATGGTCCATTTCTTTGTATCTGTTTGTCTTTCTCTCAGTTTCAGTTCTTTGTGTTTTCATCCCCCTCTGTTTCTCTTTCCTCTTCTCTTTGAAGCAAACTCTTGTGGGATTAGGTTCCTCTGTTTCTGTATTTGGCAAGCGATTTGACTGTTCAGTCAGATGTTATAAAAGTCTTAATAGAACAAGACAAATATGCATCTGTGACCCATTTCCTTAAAAAAAAAAAAAACACTTCAGGAAAAGGAATTCCAAGTTAACAATAGAGAGAGTGTAGCTAAATAAATGTTAATTTCCAACAAGCAGTAGTAATTCTAGCAAAATGTGTCTTCAGTGTATAAGCTTTTGTATTTAAGTTCTACTAATAGTACTTTACTCTGCTTTTTTCCTCCTCAAGGGGAGGATAGATGATTATAACAAAGTGGATGTGATATCCAAGATGAGCATTCAGGGCATGGGGAGTAGTTAAGTAGGGCTAGAAAAGTAAACGCAAGTTAGGGAGTAGAGATAGTCATTGGTTAATGGCAAGAAATTTTGGCTCAAGAAGCACAAGTCTTCCGAGGATTTTTTTTAAACTGGTTGTAGTTTATTTTTCTCTTGGTGCAAGCCACCGAGTTGCAGAGTGTCAGGAAGGCTTGAGTGTGGCTTGGAGAGTAAAGAGTGGGGTTCTCTCAACTTCCTTTTTGCTGTTTTGCTGTAGAAGAACCCAACCACTTTTGCTGGCTGCAGCTTGCCTAGTAGTGGGTAGCAGAGGGGAGGGAAGGGCTCTGATGAGCCCAGCACCTCCTGAAGCCTGCTGGCTGCTGGTGGCCACCCAGGACTGGGGCCCGATGTTGGCCTTGTCAGGCTGGCCACCAGGCTGCCTCCTCCTGGCTTCCAGAGCCAGGTCACAAGTATTGGTGCCGCTGGAGGCCTGGGGGAGATTCTGAGCATTCTGGGGACTCCCAACACTGTAGCCATGGACTGGAGGGTGGACTTGGTGAAAAAGAAGCTTGCCTACCAGGATTTGGGTTGGTGTTGGGGAGACCCGGGTGGTGAGGCGTGGCTTCTCCAGGATGCCCTGCATTTCCCAGGAGCTGTTATTGGGCATGGAACCTTGGTGGCACCGGAAATAATCGTGGGTGGCCAGGAGGGAGCCATTGGAGGGGATGACTGCTGTGCTGTCACTTTTGGGCCTGTGGAAACCAGTGCAGCCACCTCTTGTGGGCCTTCGTGCATGATCACCAGTGGCAGGGGTGCAGATGGGGACCCTAGGCCATAGAGCCCATTTGCAAAGGAGACTGAGGCAGGCCACTCCAAGACCGAGGCCTGCATGTCACAAACTCTCTTAAGGATCTGAATTTTATTCTGAAAGCAAAATGAAATTTTTTAAAGGTCTTATTTTTTCCAGGGAGTGATATGATCCTATTTTTCTGTTAAGAATTTCATCTACTTTTCGGGGAGGTTGTTTGGAAGGGAGATAAGTGTGAATGTTGGCAGAGCACTGAAGGTTTCAGAAATCGGGTGGATAGTGACCTGGAGTGGATTCCAAAAGACAACAGATTTAGTGACTGAATGCACATGCCAGGGTTGCACATTGTTGGTAGGTTTCTCTTACTTGGATATATGGAGACTGTGGTGCTGTTTACTAAAATGGGAATTCAGGAAACACAAGGTATTAAGAACATTATCTCTTAAGCTTGTGGATGCAATCAAACTTGGTCCAGTCTTCTAGAAATAATCAGAGTAGTATCTAACATTTGGATTCCCTCACTATGGCCTTTGGTTGTGAGCATTTGGAGAAAAGAAACTTAATACAGCTGACTTTTATAATTCATTTCCTTTGCCCTTTTCCTGCCCTTCCCAGTGACATCAAGAGTTGGCTTGCAAAGAAAGAGAAATTACAAAGGACACAGCCTGGTGCATGAGTGTGTGAATGCATGCTACATTGTAGGTAATGGTGGCTGAGGACGGTGTTGATGGTTCATTGTATTGGTTCATGTATCTCTGGCTTCTCTCACCCTCACTCCACAGGCAGAAAGACTGGATGGGGGAGAGAAGGAGGGCAAGCCAGCCAAAGTTGCATAGCATCCTGATTAAGAGGTTCTAGAGTCGTATTGCCTGGGTTCCAGTTCTGGCTCTGCTGCTTAACTAGTTGTGACATCTTGGATGAGATACTTGACTTCACATCTTTGTGTCTATTAGTTACTTCATTCTGCAAAATGGAGACAATAATAGTACTGGCCCTATTTTAAAGTCTTAACATAAATTACTGTATGTAAAACACTTAGAATGAGTTACTATATTAACAGTATTTGGGACAGTGGGTGGCACTATTCTAACAGGTTCTTTTAGGCAAATGGAATGAACAAAGCCATAGATAATGGGCATGAGAATTGATGGAATTGCACCATAATGACCTTTTTATCCTGTACCCATGGTTTTAGACCCTGTAGGTAACACATCATAAAGGTTGTTCCTACCAGTAAGACCGTGTCATAGTTGTAGTGGCAATGGCATTAATGAGAATGGTGAGAGTAGCTTTTATGTAACTTCCACATTGACCTCATGAGGTGTAGACACTTCACTGTCCCAGCTCTGCAGGTGCAGAGACTGGCTGTTGGAGAGGGTCAGTAGCTGCCCAGATGAATACTGGAGCTGGGAAGCAATCCATCCAGTCTCACTTGAGAGCCTACACTTTTGAGCCACTACCCTGTATTGCTTACGTGTGTTTAAATAGTTCCTGTTCACTCAACAGCCCCCTCATAAAAGCACAGAAGTGGCTTTATTTTCCTTCAAGGTGATTGGCTGTTGCTGTGATTATCAGAGACTGAAACTTCAGGTCTGGGTAGTGTAAGATATCATTAATCTCTTTTTTCCATTTCTCTTTTAGATATCAGTTTTTCTTGCAGGTGAAGCAAGATGTCCTTCAGGGCCGGCTGCCCTGCCCTGTCAACATCGCTGCTCAGCTGGGAGCATATGCCATCCAGTGTAGGTTCCACTAAAGCATATTGAGAAAAAAAATGTGAATGTTTCTTTTTAAGCAAGTTTAGGTACTAAAGTTCTTCTTATCAAGTGATGTTTTCCTAAAAAAATATTTAGTCAAAATTCAAGTTTTAATCAGTGTTTTCTCAGAAGAGTTAAAAGTGAAACCAGTTACATATCCCTTGTAATAGGTCACATTGGAGTTTTAGTCACAGGAACAGCATTGATTCTTAATTAGGTGGAGTGTCTGAAAAGCCCTTCTAGTCTACATCCCACCTGAGTTTTATTGATCCCCTCAAGCTGTTTTGTCTCAGAGATCACATTGCTCCCAGGCAGCTGTTGTGAAGATTCCATGTGGTCAGATGCCAGTGACCGTTCAGGGTGTGGCACACATTTGTCACTCATTGCGCTTCAGCTCTTGGCATCAATATGGCAACCATGTGGGGGAAGCTCCACACTGCATTGTCATTTTGGAGGCTGAGGATGTTTCCACTTACAAATACTGAGTCCTTTCTAAGAATGAAGCCAGGGATGGGGGCAATGAGATAGCATTTTCCTTGCCTTTATGGCATTTCCAGTTCAGAGATGGTGTGGAAAAAAATATCCTAGGAAAAATGGCACATAGTTGAATTGGGTTGGACTTGGAAGGTGGATTAACATAGGGAGGAAAACTTTAATAAATGTAATGATGAGCTTCTGGTTTGATTTTGCTTCTTTGTATAAACTAATATACAGCATTATGTTAAATTTCCCTGACTGCTGTTTGGGGCATATACATTTTGATTCATATACTCTTGATGCCTTTTTCTGAGAGGATATGTTGACATCATCATTGTTTTTTGCCTCTAGCTTTTCTAATATATGCACAATAAATTCTATTTATGCCATTTTATTTCATGCAACCTGGTAAGAATAATTGAAATGAAAATGATAATTATAGTCTTTCCGAAAGCAAAAATATAGAACTTATGTTCTTAAGACAAGATTTTATTTATACTGTTCATATATACTCACCAGTTGTTTTTTATTAAAATTAGTTATGTATGAATTTATTAATAAGACATTTGAAGAAAAATTTTTGGCATGATAGGAATATTTTTGAGTATTTTTAGGAATATTGTTCTAAAGTGGAAAAAAATACAATTTGTTTTTTAGCTGAGCTTGGAGATTACGACCCATATAAGCATACTGCAGGTTATGTGTCAGAGTACCGGTTTGTTCCTGATCAGAAGGAAGAACTTGAAGAAGCCATAGAAAGGATTCATAAAACTTTAATGTAAGAATCACATTTTATTAACTATAGTCAACATGCTGTACATTAGATCCCCAATACTTCATTTTATAACCAAAAGTTTATATTCTTTAGTCAGCATCTCCCCATTTCCCCCATCCCCAGTCCCTGGCAACCACCATTGTAGTCTTTGTTTCTATGAGATTGCCTTTATCAGATTCCACTTCAAATGCTCTCGTAGTGTTTGTCTTTCTCTGTCTTATTTCACTTTGAGTAATGCCCTCAAGAACCATCAATATACTTGAGAGTTGCTAAGAGAGTAGATCTTAAATGTTCTTACCACACGAGAAAGAAATGTAATCATGTGACAAAATGAGGGTGTTAGCTAACCCTATGTTGGTAGTCAGTTTGCAATATATAAGTGTATCAAATCAATACATTGTACTCCTTAAAATTGCACAGTGTTATATATTGTATTTGATATACAACTAAAGCTAGAAAAAAAAAACGTGTCTTATGTTACATCATCCATTAAGTATCATCTTTTGCTTTTGGTAGTCTTAAGAAAAGTTTCTAGAATGATAAATTCTTCACATATGCCTTGAACATTCTAGCATTTTTTTCTTTTAAGTTTTTTTTTAAACTGCTTATAACACTAAAATACTCATAGAAAACTCAAGTAACTTTAAAAATGTAAAGGAGAGAGTAAATTTCAAAACCTAACGTCAATGTATTTTTGATTAATGGCCTTCCAGACCTCTCTTTATGCATAAATTCACATAAAGAAAATTTATTTTGTATAGATTTATGTATGTATGATTTAACATTAATGGAATCATTCTGTATATATTGTTATTTTGCAATTTCCTGTTTTTTCAGTCATCAGTACCTTGTGAAATTTATTCTTCTAGTTATATTTTAAAACCACAAAGCCTTAATGTATTCTGGATTGGGTCTGTCTTAAGGATGTAAATTCTTTACAGTTATAAGCAAAGTCCTATTCAGTCTACAGCAATGAATCTGGAAATCATGATGACACCTTGGAGGGTATTATGTTAACACCACATGCACTTCTGAGAATATACACACTCCCCTAGTAGGATTTTCAATTAATGGCCTGCAGCATTGAAGTTATAATTTAATTATAGTTATTTTGGTTAAATCCTCTATACTGATTAATTTTGCTTTATTCCCTCTTATGTAACATTCCCTCTTGAATTTGCTTGGTTTCAGATCTATTATAGTTAAGAAAAAAAATGTAGAATTAATCTGGTCAACAAAAAATGTTTGCCTAAAGGATCTGTTTCAGTGAGTAGCAGCAGAAGTCAATTGCTGAATTGTAATCAGAGAAACCAGGCTTTCCATCTTGTATTAGCATGCACCAGAATGCTCTTAAGCCTGATTATAGAGTCCTTCATTTTAAGGTTTCCCTGAAGTGGATGCTAAGAGAGTGCCTCTTATAACATTATGAAGGGCAGTGTGTTTGGCACATTCTGAGAATACTAATTCCAGGAGTTTCAAAGTACAATTACATTTTTGAAATTATCAAGGAGCTTTGGGTAAAGGGCCTTACATGTTTTATGTGATGGTATTGACAGTGTGACTGTTATTTCTAAGAGAATAAAGCTTGATCAAGATTTAGTAGCTTTCTTGTGCCTAATTTGTCATGAACATTCTTTATAGATTTCAAAATTGAGGTGTATTGCTGGATTTTCCAGGGTACCATGGCTGAAACATTGGATGCATCAAAGCAGGATTTATTAATTAAAAAAATTCATAGCTCCTTTTGTTAACTAAAAATCTGTCTCTCTTACACACACACACACACACACACACACACACACACACACACACACACACACACACACACACACACACACACACACACACACACACACACACACACACACACACACACACAGTTCCACTCATCCATGGAGATTCCAGGCAGATGCTCACACTCATTAGGAATGAATACCATTTATGTAATTGTCACCAATGATGATTTTGGGATGATTTCTATACTTTGTATTAAGAAAATGACAAGTATTTTTACAATTTATAAATATTAATGTATTTTCAAACTACATACGTAATCAGGAGATGCTGAGTCAGGTGCTGGGGAGCCCATTCTCTTCTCCCTGCCCACTACTCTTCTCCTTTTCCTCCTGATGGAGAGCTGCTGGTGCATGGAGACGTTTTACTCTTTGTAAAGGATATATTCTTTAATTCAAGTGCTTATATTCTGAATCTCTTTGAGGGTTTCTGAAACAGAATTTTTAATATATGCTGGGACATTGGGATTGGCTATAATGAGCAAAAACAGATTTGGTAAATGAAATTAACTTAATACAAGGTTCACCTCAGAGTGTAAAATTTTGTCACCAAGAAGGCAAGGGACTTCTTCAAATACTAAGACTTAAGTTTGCATTAGGACAAAGGATTATTTATTTCTCCAGTGAATATGGTGAAGATGGTTCTCATATCCTGTAAGTGCAGTACCTATTAGTAAAGTAAGGCTCTTTGTTTTTATGCTGGGTGTAGGGGTCAGGCTCCTTCTGAAGCAGAGCTGAATTACTTGAGGACTGCTAAATCTCTGGAGATGTATGGCGTTGACCTCCATCCCGTCTATGTGAGTAACATTTAATTAACACGAGATATTTTAAGCTGATGACATTTTTCTTAAAAAGTCACCGAAACTCCCAAAGGAAAGCTGTAGTCCTGTTGTTTAGCAAGCAGATGATACTTTCTCATCTGTTTTTCGAACACAAAGCATCTCTTGCATGGATTAAACCCTAATGAGTTTTGCTTAAAAGTCTGTGATTATATTTCCATGTGTAGAAAACAATTAACTGGGCTTGAAAACACAATCTGGATAACAGCTCCATAGGGCTTAGCTAAACGTCAAAACAATTTAAAATTGGTCTATAATTGATTGTATGAGACAGAAAACAGGAGGATTTTCCAAAAATAGATTTTATGACCGAAAAGCATTCATGAAATCACTTACCAGAAAAGTAGCCTTTAGGCACCAGTGTAGGTGCAGGTGTTGATGGTTCTATGTTGGATGTACAGGTTCTCTCAATATTAGGGTTACTGCTTACTATAGTTATCACCACTGCATTAGAAATGGTTTTGCAAATTTTCTTTAGTGGCTGATGAACACTGGCTGAATATAGACAGAGTTTATACTAAATCTGTGTTGAGTGTTTTGGAGCCATGTCTTAACCTTGAAACCATTTCTCAAAGGTTACCAATTGACAGTTCTTTGCCTGTGAGGTTGAAATGCCATTGCCTTTCATTTTGTAAGAGTTGAGTTAGCAATAGTCCAAATTTGATGATTTGAGAAAATGAGCCAGGTGCCTTATTCTTTACACAAAATGAATTGCTCAAGATTTTCTATAGACAAGGTCAATTAAATTATGGAATGTGATTTTTAAGGAATGCTGATTAAACTTACCATAATGCAAGTAACTCATTTATGGATTCATTTTGCAATATTCGTTTGCTCGTCAGAGTTTCCTAAGCCAAGAAATCTTCTCGTTTTCTTCGTAAAAAGTAGAAGCACCTCTGGGTATACTGTTAGTATGGCAATAAAAGTTACATGTTTGGGTCAAGTAGTAGTTTCTTGATATAAAATATCCAATCTCATTACATCATTACATGCTCTATACTACTGTCATTTAAGAACACCTCTAAAACTTAGTGGAATAGCTACTGTTTTCCCTTCTAGCCACATTAATCATGTTGAGCTTTTAGTTTTTTAAGAAATATATAGGAAGTGTGTAAAAGAGAGAATCTTCTGAAAAACGGCTCTGCTTTTGTGTAATGCTTATCCTAATTCATATACACTTTTTTTGTGGATGGTAGGAGTTTATGGCAAATGAACTGGATTCAGTAGAATCTTCCATACATTCCTCTAAAATTGAATTTTCAGAACTGAAAGTGGGCAACAGCTGGGATTCTTCAAAAATATATGAGTTGTCTTATATTCTTGGGAGTATGACTTTACAGGCTGTTATTTGACCTTAGAGTAGAAATACAATTCATACAGACGTGTGCATGTCCTTCATTACCCACAGTGTTTGTGACTTTGTCATTTCAGAATCTCATTTTCTTAATTAGGATTTATCATCTCCTGGAAATTGAGGGTCTTCAGTCTTTACCAGAAGAGATGTATTTTTAACTCTTTTGAGTAGTAAAGTCACAAATGGAAGTAGGAGGGAGCATGATAGAAACATCAGAAAATCCAGGTGTGTGCCTGAAGGCAGCTGCCTGAACTCAACTTTCTGGAGAAGGGTGGTGGAAAGCCAGGTTTCATGATTATCTACATCTAAGAATAAGATCGAGATGAGCCAACCCTTGGGAAGGAACTCTTGATAGAAGCCAGTGGTTCTCAATCCTTGGCTGCACAGGAGAAATCACCCGGAGTATTTATGTATTTTTGATTCCTAGGCCCCTTCATTACAGATTCTGATTTAACTGGTTTTGGTAGCACCTGGGCATCAGCATGTTAAGCTGCACAGGTGATTTCAGTTAATGTGCAGCCAGGGTTGAACTGCACTGTAGGTGCAGTGTGGGGTGAGTCGATCAGTGGCCTGATTGGTAGTCCAGGTTCTTTTAATGAACTGAAGTTCTAAGTATGAATATACTAAGAAAAATTTTCATTAAAAAATTGAAAATAAATGAGCAGCAAGCTAGCTGTTACCATAGCTTAGCTAGCTTTCTAAGTTGATGTCTTTGACAAACTAGACCCAATATTAATACAACATATTATGGTTGTATGGCCAATTACAGTTTGACAAGGAGCTGTGACATGAATAAATTCATGGGTAATAGGCATATGCTTGTTTTTGCAGGGAGAAAACAAATCTGAGTATTTCTTAGGATTAACTCCAGTTGGTGTTGTTGTCTACAAGAATAAAAAGCAAGTGGGGAAGTATTTCTGGTAAGTATAACTTGAGGGCAGAGTTAGTATTAAAATTATACGCTGTATATACTAGGCTTATGGGGCTTACTTGTCAGTGAAAACAGGTACGTTTCCAGTGGTTGATAAATAAATGAGTAAAACTGGGTATACATTTTCTCCCAGTGCATCTTAGTATGTATTTTCTCTGTAAATTTTAGGTACTGTGATTCTGGACTCTCTTGTCCATGCAAATTATGTGTAGTAGGATTTCCTATCCATTCCAGTGTATGCTGGTGGGCTGTGGGCCCAGGACTACTTTAAGTTCTAACTCTAAATGCGGGAGGCATTTGGAGGGCCTGGGAGCCTGTAGCCCTACACCGTGTCTGGGAAGGCAGACTGCTGAGACTTTGGGGATTCCAAGCTTGTCTGTATCTACTGGAGAAGTACAGGAGAATGAAAATGGAATTTTATTTAGGAAAGTGTCCAGAGTAAATGACATACAGGGAACTCTCTACAATTACTGGAGCAGTATATACAGAAACTGAAACGAGCCAGTCTTTTCCCACTGGATACTTCTCTGAATTTCTGAAAGATTAATTCTTAAAAACTACACCACCGCCGCCATCTGCTTTGTTTTTCAGGCCACGGATTACAAAGGTTCACTTCAAGGAGACACAGTTTGAGCTCAGAGTACTGGGAAAAGATGTAAGTTTTTGTTGACTGCTCAGCTTCCCTTAACTGAGGAGAGAAGTCTTGTCTGCTTGTTGAGAACTTAAAAATCATTGTGAAATAAAACTGCCATGTTTCTTCAGCTGCAGCCACATGGAACCAGGTTAATGGACTCATGTGCACAACTTCTTCTCAAGGAAGGGAAAGGGAAGTGAGTAGAAATGAACGAGTTGATTATAGAGGAGTGTCATTTTAGTTTTAGCAAAAAGAGAAGAAAACCCTTTCTAGGGCACAAGAGAGAAGAGGAGGTGATTATCATTATTAGAGTAGTTTGCTTTGAAGTACTGTCTATGAAGGTAGGATTCATCTCATCAGAAGCGTGCAACCTGCATATAGGATAAAGAGTGTCCTCATTTTGTCCCAGGGTAAATTAAACAACCTGTAGGGAGTAACACTTCTATTCTCTCTGGCATGGTGGATAAGCTGGATGGGAAATTCTGATGCTTTCAAAGGAGAATGTAAGACAAGGGTGCAAAAATATCTTTGCCCTGCAAGCTGGCAGTGTCCTCCAGGATTGTTTGGGTCACGGGCACAGTATTTATCAGAGTCTGGAGGTAGCTTTGAAGCAGTGGGGCCAAAAAAGGCAAGAATGTGAAAGCTTCCTTTTAATCTACCTGTGAAAAGAGTGCTCCCTTGAAGTGCGATTACTCTAATTTGTATTTATGGGATAAGTTAGTGGAAATACGATGTACGAGAACCATCCTTCTGTCTCTTTGGTAGTAATTTTATGTAGACCCAAACCCTGAGTGGATGCATTGAATGGACTTTCTGAGGAGATTCTGTTGTAAAAATGAGGCAAAGAAAACCTGTGCTTCTGCATCTACACGTTGAGACACGGGAAAGGAGTGGCCGCTGGCTCAGGTGCAGCATGGTACCAGGCAAGGCCTCACACATAGCAGGTGCCTGCTCAGGATTTGTTGAACAATCTGTGAACGGATGGACTGAGATTACATACTGTCAAATCAGAAAGCCTGATTTTTCTAGAAAAATACAGCGATCCTTCCCTGAACTGTGTGACATGCTGCCATTTTTTGATAAAATTAAAATTGGATTTTGAAATGAGTTTTAACTTGTAAGGAGGGAAATTCCAGATTAGATAAAAAAAAAAAAATGATAGTCCCAACACCTCATCATAGTTCTTAGCAGCCTAGTTTTCTTCAGTTGCTGATTAGACACATCAGTGGTAAAAGATGTGCTGTGAGATTGAATTAAAGTCATCCCAAAAGTAGAACAGCTAATTGGATAGTAGGGCTACGTGATTTTTTTCCCTGTCCTGCCACTGGTTTCACAAGAATTAATGCAAGGAATAAAGTCTATTCAATACGTTGAAAATAATGTTTCACGTTTTTAATAAGAATATTATAAAATAATAAGACTTTCTGTGGAAGCATTACTATTATTTAGAGTCATTTTTCCCCCTCATACCTGTTATTTTCATGAGTGAGGTCCTTTGGTCAACTACTTTTATGTTATTATTAGAGTGCCTTAAAATGTCTTCTGCCTCAGGATAAACATTTGTCCAAGTGTCAGCTAACTTGAACTTCTAACTTCTTAGATTTTTTCATTATTAGGTGAAAACAAAACAACAAAATTGATAGTTTTCATGTTATTTTTTTAATGGCAGTGTCATGGTGTGACCTTGTTTCCTCCCAACCCCGCTTTGCCTGAGTCCATTCTGCAGCTTTGAAAAGGAGTGGGTGTGGGGCACCTGGGTGGCTCAGTGGGTTGAGTGTCCAACTTTGGCTCAGGTCATGATCTTGCAGTTCGTGAGTTCGACCCCCACATTGGGCTTGTTGCTGTCAGTGCGGAACCCACTTCAGATCCTCTGTCTCTCTCTCTCTCTGAAAAAATAAATAAACATTAAAAAAAGAAAGAAAGAAAAGAAGAGGAGTGGGTCTTTGGGTGTCGCCTGAGGCACTGCGTGCTCCTGGTTCATTAGCCTAATGTCACCAATGTCTTACGGTGAAGCAGGTCACATAACTCAGGCTTGAATCACAGGGATTTTTTTTTTTTTTTAATAGGGCATTAATTTAACCAAAGCACTCCTTTTCCTGAGCGTTCTTGCTTTGCAGTCTTTCTTCCCTCTCCACCTGGGTATCTGTGAGGAATGATTTACATAATGGTGGAATTAAGCTGATTATTATGGAGACCTAACTGTAATCATAGATTATATATAAAAACCCCATGAAACCCGTCACCTGGAACAGTAATCACAACCAGCTCGCAAAATGGTTGAAATGCTTATTCTGGTTTTCTGCTCCACTGGTCCAGTCAGAGAGACTTAACTCAGTATGTTCAGTGCTCTTAGGGCCAAATTCAGACATTCAGTTCCCAAAAGATCAGCAATGTCCTACAGGTAAAAGATTTTTCCTGTTGTCACACTATGCCACTAACACTGTCCCACTCCACTTTTTAATATTAACAGTGTCTACCAAAACACATTATCATATCTTAATAAATATAATGTGCTAACACATAGTATTTATTCATACATTTCTTTGCATCCATAAATAACAGTCTCATCTTTCTCAGATATAACCTTAGTGAGTTCACTGATTCAGATTTGAGAGAGGAACAAACACTGGTTTTGTAAAACTAAAACTAAAGTCTGGTTTTGTAAAAATTTAGTCTTCTGACAGATTCAGCAGGTAATTATAAATACTTCTGTGGATTCGTTAAGCTTCCAAATAGGTACTATGGCTTAAATAATACCTCTCAGAAAAATAAAAACTTTAAGTATAAAGGTCTTCCATGATGATTGTAGAAAATCTGGGAAATATACTGTAAAGAAGAAAATGAAAATTACCTCTTAAAATTCAGAGGTAATGATTATTATTTCAGAACAAGCCCTTTCAGATTTTGCTCTGTTAGCATGAATGTGTAATATACATATATATACACATATATATGTGTCATCCCCTACGTGTTTCTATACGTGGGTTTTATACTTAATTTCATATCATAAGCATTTTTCCTTTTATTTCATTTTTTCATATGTGCCTACACAGTGTTTGATAATGTGTTTTACTGTTTTATGTGCTTGACCTTTTTTTTTCTTCATGTCGTGGATCAATGTTTTCCTCCTATTGTATCTTATAAATGTGTTCTGCTGGTAGAGGTGAAAGCTGTGGAATTTTATTTTTATCTCAAATCTGGCTGTTTTGCTGAACTCTTGTGTGTTAGCCAAGAGTTCTTAATTTTATTCTCATAAATTTTTGTAGGTATATAATTTTGTTGCTTGCAAATAAAAATAATTTATTTGCTTTCTGTTATTTATGTTTCATATTTTATAGTGTTGGTCGTAACTTATAGAAGAGTGTTAAGTGATCTAGTAATATAAAGCACCTTTGATTGGTTTCTGATTTCAGTGAAAATACCACTGTTCCACCACTTATGTGTTAGCTCTTGGTTTTAAGAACATGTGTTTATTATGAGAAGTTTAAATTTTTTTAAGTCTATTATCAAATGGTTGCTGTTTACTGAATTCCTTGAGAGCAAAGATTGTTGCTTGTTCACCCATTGACCACCTAGTGTTTATTTTCAAAATCTAGACAAGGAGCACCTGGCTGGCTCATTTGGTAGATCATGTGACTCTTGATCTCGAGGTTGTGAGTTTGAGCCCCACATTGGGTATAGAGATTACTTAAAATCTGAATAAAATATATTATATTATATTATATTATATTATATTATATTATATTATATTAT